TGGAGAAAAGGGGTTCGGGATCGTGCTTTGCTTTGTTAAACCATCTTAATTGCGGATCGTGTTAGATGATACATTTTTTATGCAAACCATTCATCTCTTTCTATGCTTTCTTCATCTTGTAGCTTGCAACATTTATTGCTCAAATATGTTCTATAAAGAAAGCTACCTGATCATAACACTTCAAGTTGAAACAATCCATCAAATCTAATCTGTTGCTCATACGTATTATGCGTATGTTTTTGCAATTCTCTACATCTTAAAGTCTTTATTCATGATTGCATTTACAATTTTTATCTGATGTTACCTGTGGTTGAAATTGTTTTCTATGGAAATCAGGCAACATCTTTTCAGCCCCAGGTTTATCAAGATGTCTACATTGGGAAATGGAGAAAGGTGCAAATGCTTCGTTCAGCTAGTGGTACCACACCACCAATGAAAACATATACAGATTTGCCCATCCATTTTCAAAAGGCAGAAGTGTCTTATGGTGTAGGATATGAACCAGTTTTTGCTGATATAAGCTATGCTTTTACTGTGGCTCTTCGTAGGGCTCACTTAAGCCGTAGGGGTCCTGAGGTTCCACAGCCACCAAAAAAGGAAAAGAGCTTACCTTGGTGGGATGAAATGAGAAATTACATCCATGGGAATATCACCTTATTCTTTTCTGAAGCTAAATGGTACATTCTTGCAACCACTGATCCTTATGAGAAGGTCAACAAACTTCAAGTAACATCTGCTTCTATGGAAATTCAGCAGTCTGATGGTCGTGTTTATCTCTCTGCAAAGGATTTTAAGATTTACTTGAGCAGTTTGGAGAGTTTGATAAATAATTCTAGCTTAAAACTTCCTGCTGGTCTCTGTGGTGCTTTCCTTGAAGCTCCAGTCTTTACTGTTGAGGTTTTGATGGAGTGGGACTGTGAGTCTGGCAATCCAATGAATCATTATTTGTTTTCACTTCCTGTTGAAGGAAAGCCACGTGAAAAAGTATATGATCCCTTTAGATCTACTTCTCTTTCCCTTCAATGGAACTTCTCTCTTAGACCCTTGCCTCTAGTATCTGAGAAACAATCACCACCCACTTCAGTGGCAGATTGCACTGTTCTGGAAGGTGCCAACTTTGGTTCACAAAGGTATGACAATATGTCAAATGCTTTACCTACTGTGAACCTTGGTGCTCATGATATGGCCTGGATAATCAAGTTCTGGAGTTTGAATTTTCTTCCTCCCCACAAATTGCGTACTTTCTCTAGATGGCCTCGTTTTGGGGTTCCAAGAATTCCTAGATCAGGAAACTTGTCATTGGACAGGGTGATGACAGAATTTATGCTCCGGTTTGATGTTACTCCTACTTGTATAAAGCATATGCCATTAGATGATGATGATCCAGCAAAAGGACTGACATTTACCATGACAAAGCTGAAATATGAAAGGTATTTGAGTAGAGGCAAGCAAAAGTATACTTTTGAGTGCTTACGTGGTCCTCTTGATCTTGTATATCAGGGTATTGACCTTCACATGCCTAAGGCATTCTTAAACAAAGAGGATTGCAGTTCTGTTGCAAAATTAGTACAAATGGCGAGGAAAAGTTCACAGGCTGCACCTATTGAAAGAGTTTCTAGTGGAAAGTCTAATTCTGTGGGTGGTTGCACAGAAAAGCATCGTGATGATGGATTTCTGTTGTCATCTGATTATTTTACAATCAGGAGGCAGGCCCCAAAGGCTGACCCTGCAAGGTTGTTGGCATGGCAAGAGGCTGGAAGAAAAAATATTGAAATGACATATGTCAGATCTGAATTTGAGAATGGGAGTGACAGTGATGAGCATCCAATATCAGATCTAGATGATGATGAAGGATACAATGTGTTAATAGCTGACAATTGCCAACGTGTTTTTGTTTATGGTCTTAAACTTCTATGGACTATAGAGAATAGAGATGCTGTTTGGTCTTGGGTTGGTGGATTATCCAAAGCATTTGAACCCTCAAAGCCCTCTCCTTCTCGGCAGTATATGCAGAGGAAGTTACATGAGGAAAAACAGCAACATAATGAGTCTGAAATGCCTCAAGAGGATACTTCTAAGTCCACTTCTATCAGTGAAGGTATGCTGTCCTCTTCTCAAAATGTAGAAACATCAGGATCTCATTCATCACCATCACATTCAGTTAAAAAGGAGAACTCATCAATTGCTGTAGTAGGTATGTCTCAAGGAAAATTTGGAAAGTTTGATTTTTGGGTTTGTGTATTCTCCACAAAGCTAGTGATGTTTGTCAGTTCTGAAAATCCATTAGCTTAATGAAATGCATTCAACAGAATTGCTTCTGGTTATCTTTTGTCACCATGATTTTAAAATCTTAAATAAGCATGTTTTGTTGCAATTCAGAAGATTACAGCTGATAAGTTTGTATTTTGCTTTAGCACCATCAACAAATGAAAATGTCAATGATTCTGAAGAGGAAGGGACTCGTCATTTTATGGTGAACGTCATGCAGCCTCAATTCAATCTTCATTCTGAAGAAGCCAATGTAAGTTGTAATTCATTCAGAAATGAAACAACAATTTTCACTGGGTCTCAAAAGATGTCTATTTGTATTTTTTTTTTCTTTGGGGCTGTGGATGTTTTTTTGGTAAGTTTTTCTTTAATGATATATTTTTTTTCTATTGTATTTGTGTAGCTCCATTATCTGTTTTGTTTGCTCAGGGATCCTAGTAGCAAGTGCTAAATCATCTTAAATAAGTTCTTTAATTAATCAGTGATGCCAGCTCTATTCTATTATATTGGATCTATTCCCTTAAGAAAGTTCTTTTCTCACTATCAATAGGATTCCCACCTTTTTTTCTCGATATCTATGTAGAATTTCTTCATTTCAGTTTGTTTTGTCATCATCACTAAGAATTCACCGTTATTTATGTTAAAACCAAAAAAAAAAAAAAAAAATTGTGCCTTGTTATATAATATCAATAGTTTGGGCATTAAACCATTAGATTTGGTAACTAGGAATTGAGAAAACATTAGGTTTGTTAAATGTAAAAAAAATGCCTGTATATCTTGAAAAAAAAAAAAGTGCCTTGTTTTATTATAGCCACAGGGGGTGTGACTTTTTGGTAAGGACAATGCTTGAGATGTGTAGGTTGAGTGCACATGTTGGGGTTTGAACCCTACCACTGGGAATAGTGCAGGCTGTAGTGGGCATGCTCAGTCACCCTGAGTTTACGATGAATGGTTGGTCCAGTGGGCCATGTCTTCACCAGATTCTCAGCTATCGAAAAAAAAAAAAAAAAAAATGATTTAATTTTTTTAAAAATAAATCTTACGTTTATAAATAAAAAAGCCTGTACTGATTGAGAGAGTTCCTCCGCTTATTAAATTTAATGTAATTTAATTTTAAATTAATTAAAGAGCAACGCAGCTTTTGCATAATGGTGCGTAGTAAAAGTGGTTGGACCGAAGACCACAGTTTCCTTTTTGTGGGGTGACTTTTAGTTTGATTGGGCCTGGGCCCTTGTCTCTGTACCCAAACGCGCCGTTGACAAAATCGCCGTCAGAACTCAGAAGAGACGTTCACTAATTAACACTCGAACACTGACAATTCTGATGCACTCTTCCCCAGGAACCTC